AGATTTAAATAAAATTAGGTTATGCTAGTAATTAAGTTTTATGCTACAGGGTAATAAGGTGTAGATTGGTGGAATGTTAATAGTGTTTGGTGGATTGTATATGAAAAATGATTATAGACTATTTGAATTTGGAGGAATGGGATTTTGGCCTCTGGAGACTTTGAAACTAAAAAGTAAATCGGGCCCTGGTCCCGGTAATAGCCTATTCCCTATATAGGAACGCTAAAATGGTTTTGTCGATTAAAAAATATAATATAAACTGCCATATAACGTAAAAACATTTGAACTAAACATTTTTGCAGATGACGATGATATATTACCTAAAAAGGTGCTTATTTTATTGTGTAGATTTAACGCTATAATAAAAATACTAGGCAAATTCATTTCTTGATCATAACTTATTATTTTATTATTGGTACTGAACTTTACTGGTGCATTTAACTACCACGACAAAAAGTAAAATTAACTCAATACTGTTTAGGCGTCCATTAAATAAGTTGAATAATAGTTTTGTGATGCTCTTGGTCCTTTAGAATGTCATCCATAAATTGTAATGTTAAATCATCATCCTCGTACACAGTAAACACTTTTAAGGTAATTTCAGTTTTACATTAAAAACTGTTTTAATTAATTAACTTAATGAATCAATGTTTTCTTCATTGCATTATGTTTGAGTAAGTTCTATTATATAGATAAAAGTATAAAAAAAATTGATTAGCTCTAGTAAACTTTTCTTGTGTACTAAGACTCTTGAAGGTAAACTAAGTACAATATGTATATGGTATCATAATATTTAAAACCATTAAAAACTTGTTTGTGAAAATTTTGTTTCTATAAATATAATACAGTAGAAGCAATTACCTAAAATAATTAGTTTTACGCTAGTAATTACCTTTACTTGTATTAGTAATTAAATCATGAGCAAAAATAAATGTTACATTGATTTGCGAAATGGAAATATTCGTCTGCAATTCAACAAACTCACTTTTCCCTGTTAACATGTCGGTTGAAGCTGAAAGTGATGAATTGGAAAACCAGTGGATCTGCGTTTAGTAATAATTTGTACAGTATCATCAAAGTTATTGAATGGTCATCCCTTTTACGTTTTCCAATTTATCTAATGGATTTGTTTTACCCTCTGATGAAGTTGTTAAAATTTTACATTAAGTATTACAACGATTTCGCTAAGAATGATACTTATGTTTATTTTCTGATTAAGTAGTTGGGATGAAATGAACAATTTAAAGAAAAACTGTTAATAACGATGGATAGTAAATTTTTGCTTGAATTCTTTTACTGCTAAGATAGATAATTGCTATTTTTAGATGATCGCTGAGCTCTCAAAAACAAAAGATCTAACTTTTAGGTTTCAGCTCAAACATGAACATAATGAATAATAATGTCCTTTTCACATTAAATTTTAAATACTGTATTTTTACGTGTAACAATAAGAATTTGTATTTAGTGTGTATTTTAAAGTCTCAAAATGGTTCGAAGATTCCCAGTGCAGTCACTGTTCAAAATCAATATCAATGTAACATTATTATTTTGTTGTATAATCTTTATGCGTGTTAAATTATTTCATTGTTTATCTTTTATTTCAGTGATGTAAGATTTAATTTATTTTATCCCTGTATTTATTAGGATTATTGGATCCACACTATTGTATGCTTTCTCATGTTTCTAATATATGGTAATATTATAAAAATAGTGATACGTATTTCCATTAATTACTGTAGAATAGCGATTCATAAACGTTGGTGCATATGATGTATCAAAACAGCTTTTACGCTAAATGGAAAATGTCTTTTCATTCATAAGCTACCAGTGTAAAGACCAAAATAACAGCCAATTAAGTCCTCAAAGACATCATTTCTGCTTTGTATTTAATCAGTGTTATTAAAAGCTGGTGCTTTTTATGACCATCACATAATCATCATAAAACCCGATCTCTAGATGTCAATTTTGATTATTAAAATATTAAATAACAAATAAAAAAACATACAACCAATTCCTTCGTTGGTCATTTTAAAATCTAGTTAATTTCTTCTTTGGTAAAAAAAAACTAGTTTTGATAACTTGTTGTAAATTAATTAAGTACATTACATCACAACATGTGATATTATCACAGTAATAAGTTGAAAAAATAAGGAACTAATTGCCTTTCAACTTCCTTTATACATAACATCATGTCAGATAGTTATTTGTGATTGTATTATTTATTTTTGATATGTAAATATTATATGATACTAAACGCAGTACAGTTAACCCTCATAAATGTTCATTAACTGGTGATCCAAGTCCAAGTTCTTTTGATAAGTAAAAGTCTGCTTTACAAGAAAAATCTACTTAAAAAAAATTGGAATTTCGGGTTCTTTTGGGCAACCCCTTTTTTATGATGAAACGCCGTTTACAGGAAATAGCTAGAAAGCTTTAATAGTACACTTGTAGCAAAATAAAGCAATTACTTAAATACTGTAAACCGCTACAGAAACTGCCTAATTTATTGTGTTGCATTTTAAACCTGCGTACATTTTACAAACTGTTACTGATATGGCTGTCCGCATAAAGCAAAGCACAGCAGAATTTTTTTATTACTGTGATAAAATTAAATTAAATTTCAAAGGTTGTTTGAAATTGAGTGTGAGTAAGTATTCTATCACCGATCGAAATGTTTAACTAGATGTACGGAGGGACCAACAGTTGAGGTAGACTACTAAAAAAGGTATTTAAAAATAACCTAAATACATAAAGAAAACTCAGTTTTCACTCCTAATTAAACTAGAAGTGCATTATCATGGTTGTTAAATTACAAACTATTAAGGTTAACTACAAAATAATTGAATTGCTACGTGGGTTTTTAATTTCATTACTAATATTTTCAGGTAGCGAATAAAAGACGGTACAGTACAATGTGATCCCTGAAATTCACCACATACACAGATATGAAGCCAAGTCACAGCCTGACAGTCAGTGACAAATATTCGGTGACAAATAATATAGTGTTGAGGGACGTGCTAATGGAATCTTTAATCAAATTCTCAGCTCCGCCTCTAATTTGTTATTTATTATTGCTCCTTTTGAAGTTTTGACAGTTTCGACGACGATAATAATCCGTGCATGTTCTCTGAGTGTGTTTTATTATATAAGTCCGATAAATATGGTAAAATTAATCAACCATAACATCGTTCAGTTGTTATTTTTGTTATCACCTAATTTAGCAAAGCTTTGTATTCAACTAAATTAATTATCTGTATATTTTTTAAAAGTAGATAATAGATATAAATCTTCACAATTTTACTTGTAAAAAAAAGTAAAATACATACTTCATTTTATGTTGTTTGTTGTTGTTCCGGATCGGTATGACAATCAATAAAAGGTAAATTACCTGTGTCCGCCGGTCGATCCTAATGTATCCTATTACAGGAGATGCATTTCGGGGAAATTAAATCGCCATCATCAGCCCTAATATAAGTTCTTTTCGGCACACGACCGACGCGCGTCTACATGTCCATAGTAAAAATAAAATTAGGCCTATCGTGTATTTATGTTTCATTCGTCACGTGTATAAGGGTTCGTGTATGGGTTTTTAAAACTTCAAGACGCAACTAATAGGGAAGCTCAATATTAGGACTGATGATGGCGATTTAATTTCGCCAAAATGCATCTCCTGTAATAGGATACATTAGGATCGACCGGCGGACACAAGTAATTTAACCTTTTATGGATTTAAAATGTATACATTGGAGGACTTGAAATATAACTGAGGTGAATGATTTTGTGGGAAATCGTATAAAATAGGAATTGCTATTTTCAACAACAAACCTCTCATTATGGTAATGTGATGCTAAACGAAGCCTCTTTAAAGTAAACTTTTAAGAGACTTATGTCATCAAGTCAAATGAATTAATTAGTGTTTAAAATCTCTAATGTTTAATCCTTCTTTAAACCTTTTGACTTTAGTACAAAAGGAATTAATCAGAATACATACGATCGTATTACTAGTTAAAATTCAATATTGAATATTACCTATGTTGATCTCCCATGTTGATTATTTGCTTTATTCCATACATCAATATTCAATGTTATTAATTCATGTAAATATTTTTAGTTTTATATTGAACTCTCAGCTTCAAATTAAACATTCAGATTATACGGGAATTAATTACTTCAATAGTAAAATTGAATACTTTAAAGTTCCATTGCCTAATCATTTTGAGCTCTCGTCCACCAGATATTACTGTTTTACCTTTTCACAAAATGTAATTAAAACACTTCCTAGAAATGTAAAAAAACTGTTGATTAGCTCAGTTCCTAAGCTTTTATTTTCTATTATTTTATTGTTGTGTATTACTATTTTGACACGTGTCTGAAGAAAACGATTTAGAAACATAATCATCAATCATCCTAATAGCCTCAAAGCGTGCATACCAGAACTTATACTAGGATGAGATCAAATTTGATAAAGTTTATATATACTAACAAATGCAATAAATATCTTATATTGAGACCCTAAGATAACTCTACAGGTTTTTAAATGTTGTAATTGTAAGTTAATCCTTAAAAAAATCCTTAATGTGTAGGAAATACTGTACTGACGTTAATTTTACTTCCACATTTTGGAGAGCGAGTTGGTCTAGTGGTAGAACTAGGGGCTTAGAATAACAAGGTCTTGTGCTAGAATGCCGCCAATCACAAATTCTTTTTTATTTGTTAAGTCCCACGTTCACATTCTAGGAAGAGTTGTGGCAATCTTACATGAATAAAACCCATTAGTGATTGGTGGGATTTGAACCTGGGATCTTGGGCACCACGCTCTACCACGTTACCAGCTCATCAATCACCAGTGGATTTTATTAATGTGATAATGTCACTACACTCTAAGACTAGTCTGATAAATGTGTAAAACAGATCTTAGTATGTGAAGCGAGTACACATAAAAAATAGTTTACTTAAGCCAGTGTTAATTCTTGTACACTCACTCTTTGTGTTATTTCCAGAGCTGCCCAGAAGTTGAACCTGTCGGCGTCACCTCATCGTCGCAAGAGGACGGAGGACGAGGTTGTGCCTTCCTCAGGGTTCTGCGGAGTTCTGCACCGGTCCCCTCCCCCGCCACCCCCAGCGCTGCTCAGGAGGATAGGGGTCAAGGAGGTCACTGGGGTCGGGAAGGTAAGGGAATCATCGAATCTTTTTTGTGAAAATGTTTTACCTTACCCAATTAAGCAGTGAAATCCCTGTCGCTTCAAGTGTAGTGAATCTATAAGTATAAATGTTGGTTTGTTTGTACATTTGTTTGGCAGTGATAAACTCAAACACCGCTGGACCTTGTCCTCTTGGTACATACATGTAGAATTCATGGAGAACATACACCATCAATTTCGTAATCACTTTCAGGGCCCCGAGACCCTCTTAAAATGGTCCCCCATGTCAGGGGTTTCGACAGAATTTTAGTTAAATTTGTTTACTAGTCAAACATATGCAAGTAAAATAATATATGAAGATGCATTACCTGTTACATTTTTGTTTTAACTTATTGTATTTCTTAACTGAGTTAATCATTTTATTCTGCCACACATTTTAATACACATACACAAGAGGTTTTAATTTTTTTTTATCAATAAGTACGATTGAGAATTGCCTATATAATTAGCATGGTAAGTGTGTGTAAATTTTGTTTACGAAATATTTCGTGACCCGCATTATTCTCTAAGTATTTTCGCGCCGTTGAGAAGCACGGGCAGAACCAATATGTAACACATCTTGGGGCAGAACAACTAGTACATTAAATTTGGAACATGGCTCTTTTGTCATACTTGAATAGTAAAAACTACTATTACGGTTGTAGGTGATTGCTCTAAACTGTTTAACTGAGGGTCTTAGGAATAATACTTTGAGTGGCTTTCAAATGTTAGAGCGAATTTTGAGTGACAGTAATGCATCAATAAAACGCTCGCTTATGTTTACTTATTGAATTAAAGGACAAATAAATTCTAGGCTATGTTGCTTCAAAACTAAAAGTGTAACTATAAGGTGAATAGGAATACCGATTTCAGCTCGAGCAAAAACGTTGATTAAAACCTCAATTTGACAATTACGGAATCGACCAAAGATTAGGAATCTTTCAATGATCTGATATTACTTGCAAATGTTGCTTTCAACATCCAGTGAAATTGATCATATTTCTGTTGTTTTTTATTCAATGAGTTTTACTTAAATTTACTATAAAGATTCGGGTAGTAGTCCGATACAGGAATAGCCTCTATCACGAGTTGCAGAAAGCTGTACACATTTTCTTTGAAGAGTGTGATTTAGAGAAAGACTTTCGCTGAACACAAAGGATGATTGAATTGCAGTTGGGAAGAAATAAGGGTCGGCAATCGAGTTATAGCTGGAGGTTGGGGGAAACGCAGGTGCTGTCAAGGCTGACGATTCTCTGTCTTAGTCAATGCCAAGAAACTGTATCTGATGGAAATCAGTACACCTGAAACTAATAACTTAGCACAAACGTGCTTTTTGTCTATAATTTTATCCTTGTAAAAATTGTCAATCCTGTGGTGTTCTTGAATACTAAAGATAAATGTGAGTACAATAAATACATACCAATCTCCTTACGGGAAATTTATTCTAAGATAAAATAGTATATTACGTTACTAGTCCTGAAAGTAAGTGTTTACCGGACGAGTGTCGTTACCATACGAGTCCGGTAAACACATTTTGGACGAGCTACGTACGTTAGTTTACGCCATACTACTAAATCTGTACAAATCCTTATATATTACCACCAACTAAAGGACTAAAAATCGCTAGTCATAACCTCTAAGAGAGGTTATGTTTTTGTTTATAACCACTCAATGCCATCCAAATACAGTATAATCAGCTGATTGGTGTCCGGTAAAACTCATTACAGTACAGTAGTACGCAATGAAACCCCATTTGATTAAGCTGACGGCAAACAACTGTTTTCTGGACTAAATCCTTGTGTGGGAAGTTCGTCAAAATAGTGTAGTGTGGAGTAAATGAATTAACAGTAGAAACCATTGATTGATTTACAATGCAATATTATGTTATGTGAAGCAGATAAAAGGAAGATATTATTGGATGTACTACCTACTATAAACTTAAACTGTCAATTTCTTAGTACGAGGACGTTTAGGACGTAAAGGTGATGTATCCACCTTTTGGCCTTTCATGTTCGTTTAACTTCGTCAATTGTATTAAAATTAGGTTAAAAGTGTTTATGAACATGATTTGTTAAGCTCACACAATTACACAGTCATATTCGCACTGTAAGTATTGATTATGAATCCACGAATGTAGTTGACAGCTTATTATGAGTATAGTATATCAAGTCGATGGTACAATAAGCGATACACTTAACTAATATCCTAAAAATATTATATATTATCGACTAATAACTAAATGTTTAACTTGTAAAATATTTCAGTAACAGCTAGCCACTAACTGTTTAACATCAAACATTCTACTTAAATTTGGACTTATGTAAAGACCTAATGGTTTGTTAATGTGACCGTAAATATTCCACAACCTGTGCAAGTACTGATACTACTTCGGATTAATTCCAACAAATATTTTTATAAACACACTACCAAGTTTGGTTGAAACTCTTTAAGTGTCCCTAGATTGTTTGTAGAAAACCTTTTCCCGGTTAATCCAAACCAGTTGGGCCATCACATATCCTAATCGGATGTGGGGTTATTTGCCCGTGTAGTGGCGGAGGAGGGGAGGGGTGGGGAGGGGAGAATGATGCCGGGATTTAAAGTATCTCTTGACGGGTGTGATTTGGGGAACCCTCTGCCGAATACAAAAGCCTGATCGAATGGCTGTTTGGAAGAAATAAGAATTCACTGTCGGGCAATGATCGTTCTGCAGGAGGGATGAAATCTTCCCAATCGCTGTTTTATACCGGTCATTTTGGCGTTTAAACAGTTTTTGGTTTAGTGGAACTTTAGATAGAGTCACTGGGGACTTTATCATCTCTGATGATTATTGAAACACAAGTGCGATGATGTTTGGGATTCCGGAACTTAATCCTGTCTTAAAGTAGGATCTAACCTGTAAGATAACTGGGAACTTGAAGAAAAATCGTGGAACACAACATATAAATTTAAAAAGGGAAAATTAAAAAAAAGTAGTATTGTTTTCTAAAGAAAGTACGTTGGATAACAGCGTAGAACTATGTTTTTAAGCAGATCCCAGCTGTATATTACATAGAAAAAAAGACTTAGGGATTAAGAAAATGTTTATAAATCGAGAATCTCTTACTCATATGATGAAGAATACCCAATCCTAGTTTAGTCTATAAGTCTTGTCATGTGTTTAGTCTCCCCCCCCCCCCCACTAATTCCCCCTCATCCTCGTTACCAAGACTAATTACTACTACCCCATCAACTACACAGGATAAAGTGGCTTCTATTTTAAAACTGGCGAGTTTAAATCTCCTTGTGAACAGCGATACTGTTGAAGAGTAGTTAATATAAAACCACCAAAAGAGTAATTTGTTTATTTGTAAAGGGAAAGCCAAAGGTTGGTTGTAAAATAGTTTACGCAGCGATTCCGTAAAGATAGTGTTAACGACACGAGTTGAAAATTTAAGGTACGAGCCATCGCGAGTGCCTAAAAAACGTCTACGAGTGTAGTTAAAAATATTTACGCGAGTTGTGTTTCATACTTCACCTACGAACATTTTTAATTACTAAAATTCATTACAGTACTCATAACTTCTAGAGGTTATGTTTTCGTTTATACCCTTTTATTGCCGCCGACCGTGATCGCTGCAATGAAACATTGTACCAAACTAATTGCACCACTCAACAATTAAATTGGCATTAACAGCTGATTAATTGAAGTTAGAATCATTACAATTTTACTTCTCTCTCAATCCTTGAACCTCATTGAACCTGATCGTAATTACCTCGTTATTATGTATCCTCTGTAAAGTATGGATATGTTTTAAAGTCACATACGAGTTTTACTAAAACTAATCTTAAATGTCAATCTTATACCTCATAAATATTTAAGGGAGCCATATACATAACTGTAATTTCGTATTCAACCAGACAAATTAAAACCCAAATTTGAATAACAAAACAAACATAATCTAAAATAATCGAGTCATAGATTTGGTAACTTGGAAAAATATACAGTTCAGTCGTTTTACTCTTTACTGCCCAATTCATCTTGTCAAACTAATTAAAAAAATTTAACTAATTCCCTTATAGCTTTAAAACAAACAAAAACGGTAGTTATAAGTTTTTATTACAAAAAATACAAAATAAACCAAGCAAGACTCACGCTGAGATATGGTACACATAGACACACACACACACACACACACACGCATACACAGCGCCATCTGTTACGTGTACAAGGCGTGGAGTGTAAATTACAGTGTCAACTGTGCACTGTTTACTGGGATATTTCAAGATCAAAGTGAACTCGCAGCAAACCGTATGCACCTGCTTGGTCTAGCGTTATGATCAAATATAACTCTCGGGATTAAAACGGACCTTTGTGTGGTATTCGCATTGCTGTTTTGTCATAATTATTATCACAGTGGAACACTCACGTTATTTCATTTTATTTCCTCTTAGGTGTTTCCAGGAAAGTGAATTTACAGCAAACCGTTTGCTTTGAATTCACCTGCTTTGTCCGGTGTGATGTTGGAATATAACTCTGTCTCAAGATAATAATAGAGTGGCCGTGCGTTGTTATTTGCATGTTTGTCACAATTATTGTCACTGGCTATGTAGAAACGCTTTGAGTTCATGCTATTTTCTCTTATTGTTGTATGTTTCCAGGAAAATGAATTTGTAGACAACCTTATGCTACATATACACATGCTTTGTCTAGTATTATGGACAATTAACTGTCTCTGTGGATAAAATTGTATGAGGGTGTTTTGTTTATTTACATTGTTGTCAGATTATTTGGCACGAATATAATTACAGTTGAATGAAAACAACCGAACATAAAATATTTAAATTCATAAACAATACAAAAAAGATTATTTGTTCTTACCTTATTTTTTTTTTTAATTATACTTGGTTTTACTTGAAGAAGGGTATTGTACGTTTCAAAGTATCATCCATTGTTTGTAATGTAACTAGCAGCATTATATCTGTTGACTAGGAACAATATTGAACTTTTTC